ACACCCACTGTTTTACTTCCCTCACAGCTGAGGCTACAGTCCTTCGGGCACGTCGGTACCCTGCAACTGCCTCGGGAGTCCCCTGGAATAACAAATCCTGGAAGGCCTCCTTCTTCAGTCCAACAGCTTCCCTGACCACCGGTATCCATCACTGTGTTCGAGGGTTACCGCCCCTTGAGGCACCCAAGACCTTAAGACCAACCACTCTGGTTCAATGTCCCCAGCCTCCACAGTGATGCCAGAGAAGCTCGGCCAGAGGTGGGAGTTGAAGGTCTCTTGGACAGGGGCCTCCTCCAGACGTTCCCAGTTCACCAGTAGGGGCAGCTGTGGCTCAGAGGCACAAACAACAGTCAGAGTTTCCCCCCCACAGCCCGTAGGCATAGGGAGGCAACCTTCTCGTCCACCGGGGTGAACTCCCGGCCGGGCTCCATGGCAAGCCTGGCCGGGCATAGCCCAGCCGCTTGCTTCCGGGCCCCCCCTTCCATCTTCCTTCTCTTTACACCTTCCACCTACTTTCATGGGGTCTTCTGTGAACCATTCTTAGTCTGGCCCCTCACCTGAGACCACTATGTCTTGGGAGACCCTACCAGGAGCATATTACTCCAGACAACACAGCTCTCAGGTTCATAGAAGCACCCAAACCTCTCCATGATAAGGTGATGGTTCCCGGAGAGCATCTGGAGTCTGCAAGCTGTATTTTATTTAGGGAAATTGACTGATCTGCTCTGTACAACTTGGCACGAGTGGGTCATGGCTTCCTTCAAAAATAGACCAGACAGAGCGTAGTGACAACACACTTCTGCCTTTGGAATGCTCCACAGCGCTATCACCCCCCAATGGGGGGGAAGTCTGCCCATCAAAAGGAGGAGGCTGTCCAAATATAGATATGAATGGCAGACTGACCACGAGTGGATTAGTCCCATCAGTGGAAATCAGTATTAATGAGTATTTTCTGTTTCCCATGGTTGGCTGTCCAACCTGAAGCAGCACTGAGCAGGGGACTACCACATCTGAGTTATTTTGACCAAACATTTTACTATAATTATAATGTATAATTCTTATTTATCTATTTTCAATGCTTCAACAACAGGAGGATCTTTAAAATCTACATTAGTTGATATTAATTCATATTAATATTTTGCCAGCAGTATCACATTATTTACACGATATTCAGCCTTCGTTTTCATTAGAATACAAATACCTGACTTCTTTTCCCTCAAAATAAGAATAGGCTGCTGCTTCAGTCACACTACCCATCCACTCCTTCACTGTCTCTGTCTGCAATGTCACAAAATTGATAGCTAAGGACGGGTGAGCAGAAGAGATTAAAAAAAATCTCATTTTCTGGATATCCTTTCTAACTGACTTTGACTGAGCTACCTTATTTATTGCTGCCTTTTACCACGCAGAACAAAAATATCTCCAGGATAACACTCTTTTACATCTGAAATGTAGCAAAACTGAAGCAGGCTGTCCTTTTATACTGCAGGAGCTTTGACTCACACAGCTTTTATGATGGCCGTGCTGATGCCTGTGGATTCTTTGGTGCCTGTGGCAAAAAAAAACCTACTGAGAGAATAATAACAGTGCCTGCCTCTTAATAATGCCTCCACTGCAGGCATGATAGAGAAACACACATCAACACACCAATGCAGTATTAGCATAATCCACTTATTATAACAGCTGCAACCACAACCAGTGTTCGACGGCAAGTAGCTGCTTAGTGATGTGATACAACAATCAGAGCAATTTCTTGTAAATAAATAATATAACTAATTTTCTAATTTCAGTAATATTACAGTTCTGTTGCCTCCCAGATAAATAAAATTGAAGTTCTTTCTGCCTCACTATAATTTAAAGAAAACAAAGATTGCTTGTTCATTCCTCACAAAAACTGAAAATTGTAGATAGAATAGTTTAGCTGTGCACCAATAACAGAAGCACAAAAAACTGAAGACAGAAGCTTTGGTCTGAAGCAGCGGACAGATAAGCAATACGTTGGTAGCTCAGTATTTCTCCTCAGGCAGCGATAGAGATGAACCCTAGAAATAAGAAATATGACACGGTGTTATCTGAGACACACTCTCACTGATTACAAAAACGTATTACAGCCACTGCAAGTCTGCAGTATACAATAAAATTCTCTCTTTACAACAGTTATTACAAAGTTTTCTCTGATGAGCTCTATTTGACTTTAGCGTAACAAAGTCCAGTTGATAGCTGTGGCTCAGAGGAAGAGCGGGTTGTCCACTAATCGCAAGGTTGTTTGTTCGATCCCTGGCTCCTCCCACCACATGTCAAAGCTTGAGCAAGATACTGAACCCCCGAATTGCTCCCAGTGCTGTGCATCGGCGTGTTAATGCATATGAATGAGTTAGTTTCTGTTCGATGGGCTTTGCCATCACTGAGTGAATGTGTGTGAAAGGGTGAATGTGGCATGTAGTGTAAAAGCGCTTTGAGTGGTCGGAATACTAGAAAGGCGCTGTACAGGTCCATTTACCATTACCATATCTGAATTCTGCCCTATGATCTATACTGACACTACATCTATTGAAATATTTATAATTTTTTTCAGAAGTGTAATAATCTTACCAGGCTAATCTTGTGCTGTGGTATTGAGCAATCAGCGTCCTACTGGCAGCTACAGCATGAGCTATGGGTGTGGTTTAACACTAGGGGCTCTATCTTGCCAATCTGAAACGCAAGTATCAAACGCAAAACGCAAGTAGCTTTGTGGGCGGATCTCGCTGTTGCTATTATGCCAGCGGGATAAATGACTCTTGCGCCCGGCGCAAATCTAAAATGGGTTCGTCTGAAGTAGCTACATTAGTCATAGGTGTGGTTTGGGCGTAATGTGCAAGAAACCAATCAGAGCATCATCTCACATTCCCTTTAAAAGCAGGCGAGCTTGTTCCATGGTGGATTGCTATTATAACGGCGGATTTGACAGGCGCACGCCAGGAGCGGTTCACAGCCGAGGAGACCGACGTTCTCCTCAAGGCCGTAAAATACAGAGAAGTGACATTATTTACATGAAATAAATGTAACACAGCCATACAATAAATCAAAACAATGTAACGCAGCTTCGCAGGAAGAAGACCCTGGCCTCGGGAGCAGTGCGCACGGGCCGAGCAGTGCGCAAGGGCCAGCTGAGGATGGAGCAGCGCAAACACCAAGGTGCAGAGGATCTAGACCCGCTACACACCGGAGGACCACCCGTTCCTGCAGCAAAAACTGGGTCTGACATGCTGGAGCGGGAGCTGTCCGGGATGCAGCACAGTATTAATGCCCGTCATGACCGGGTGGCGATGTTGCTGCTGCCTCTCAGGCGCATCCCCTCAAGTCTGCGCCCTTAAAATAGCATCTGAATAAGCGCCACTGACTTCAGACTAGGTTTTTCCTGGTCTGTGGTGGAATTGTTTTCTGAAACAGCAAAATAGCTCCAGGGAACGTTTGCGCCGGAACACGCCTCCTCTTTTCGCTGAACCGCCCCCCGGAGCGCAAGTTCATTCCCTAATTTAAGGACGTGCATCAGTGGAGGGAAAATTCCAATGCGCATCGAGTGCAAAATAGGAATTATACAAGCGCCAGTGTACAAAGTCAATTGCGCTCAGTGCAAGATAGAGCCCTAGGTGTGTGTGACGACGTGTGTGACTGTTTACTCAAAATTAACAACAGTTGGTCAGAGCCAGCGATGTGACATACTGCGAGTTGAGCTGCTCTCATTAGCTACTCAGTTTCGAATTGTCCGTTGCAGGAAACAATGGCTGCTCGCCTGGTCACACACAATCTCGTATTCCAGATAAACAGCACACTAAAATATGTTTCTGAAACGATTTTAAGAGAGGAAATGGCAACGCAGTAACAGAATCTTGGTTCATATTTGATCAGCATGTTGAGACAGACTCACTGAGAATGATCTGTCAATCACAAGGTAGCCACGCCCAAAAGCATACCCTGCTTTATTGTCTATTTTACTGTAAAGTGGATCAGCCAATGGAGCTCCCCCTGCTGGCCTTTACATAGAATGCAGGATTAAGACACTTCCGCGTTGGCTTCACTTTTCGGACCCTGAACCTCTGTCCAATATATATATTGTGAATGGTCTACACAGGATGCATGTAGGCACAATATTGAGTGTAGGTCACTTGCGTTTTGGCAGCAGTAAGAGCCTAATATTTATACATAAACCAAAAAAAAATGTATCGATAAGAATATGCTGTCTAGGTTAAAAATAGGAGTGTATCGACTCCGTCAGATGCACATCAGACGTACAACTGAAAAACGCTGCTGAAACGCCTCCTGTGTCAACACAACATTAGTGTTTCTTCTGCTGGAATTACTGCCTGCAGGATGTCTTTGGAATGTGGAATTAGAAATTAAATATGTTGACACTTTTTGCATAAATTCAAACCGACGCCTTGTGGTTTGTGTGTCTGATTGACTAAAAAGGGGGTGTCTTTACAGTAAGTAGTAGTTTAGCTGAAGATGTAGGAATTTCCGTTCCCACATTTAAATCCTTCATATAGAGGAGAAGGAAGAGGCTTCCCCAGCGCCAGCATCCATTTACTAAAATGGTGTCTGTTGCATTTAATTAGGGAAACAATATATAGTTTGGAGGGACTAATCGTTAGAGGAGAGAGAGAGAGAGAGAGCGAGAGAGAGAGTGACAGAGAGAGAGAGAAAGAGAGTGAGTGAGTGGATGAGAATGTTAAATGAAGGCAATCTAATCAGGAAGATGTATCTGTCCTGCTCCCCACTGATGACCCTCTAAATGATGGCTATAGCTAATATTTTGTGTGTGTGTGTGTGTGTGTGTGTGTGTGTGTGTGTGTGCGCACGCGTGTAAGGGTTTGCGCATGTGTTAAAGTGTGTGATCATGCATGCAAAGGTCTGTGTGTGTATACTATATGCAGCATCTGTGTGTTTCAGAGATCAAATGAGCAAACAGACCACTGGAGGTTCTCTGGCGTGAGAGGCTGAGAAGAATCGTTACTCACTCGGACCAGTTGGAGATGTAGCAGAACATGAGGCGGCGTGTGTGATAGGGTAGCCAGCAGACCACAAAGGCAATTACCACCGCTCCTGGACACAAGAGACAGAGAGATAGCATCAGAAACCAAAGCATAGTAGACAGATAAGGAGCACACAAAGAAATATCGAGCTGATGCAGAAATTGTGCACAGTGTTCAGAGGATAAGAATGTGAATGTTTAAGAATCAGGCTGAACAATAAAGGTTATAAAGGAATAGAGAAAATAATGACATGTACTTTATGCTAATTCTTTTTTCACTCTGTTTTACACACACATATAGGCCCACAATACAATCAATCAACCTTGATTATATATATATATATATATATATAGATATATAGAGAGAGAGAGAGAGAGAGAGAGAGAGAGAGAGAGAGAGAGAGATAAAGAGGTCATGTGCCACCATCCAATCATGCTAAACAACCCAGTGACAATGTGTACTTACTGTATAAATTTCCCCAGCATATCAACTGGGAAATTATTTTGAAATGTATTCCAGTGTAGTTGAAATTAAAATCCTGAAGTTGCATGAATAAGAGTGAAGTTGTGGATATCTGTTTATTAGAGGTGTGCATCTCTCCTGAAGATATGTTATGTTTTCTATCAATCAAATCAATCTACCAATGATTAAAACATATATACTTGAATAAGTTGATTAAAGTTACATTAGCAAATAAGGATGATTGAGCATCATGTAATAAATAGAAGGATGATATATTGCATGAACTCTGTCCGGATAAACAGCAAACTCACAGCTCAAAGACGATCCAATACCTACCTAGATACATGGGCAACAACACGATTCAGGGATGATGCATTTAATTACATGGAACAATCCAGTGTGTAGACATTTATTTTCCATTCAAAATTAAAATAAGCCAATTATATAATATAAAAGTGACATTGCTTACCTTCAAACACATATATTTTTATAAAATACCAGGAAATCCAAAAAAAAATTATTTAACAATTTCATTTAAGGATTTCATGTCATTGTGTTTATTGCTTTCCAACAGACAGACAGAAAGACTTTCTGCCATAATTATCGTAGACCTCACCCAGCTGGAGCTAAGGTCTGGCTGTTATGTGTTTAATACCCGTGTCTTGCGTGTTGTTGCTTGTGCTAACTGTTTTAGCATCTGCAGACTCCTCATCACCTGCACAGGTATCACCATGCCGTCTCACCAGGTGAGCAAAAAGATCTGCTGGCTACCGCTGTGCTTAACTGCTGTCCAACAGATCTTACAAATGGACATATCTTTGTCCAACTTCCCTTCCTTCCTATAGAATTCAAATGTCTTCCAAACTTTAGATTTTAGATTTGATGGTGTCATGGCAGGGCTGTATCCTTGCCTTTTCCTGGTGTTTCCCCATCCCTTGTGTCTCCTGTCTGTGTGTTGTAGGTGTGATTTTCAGCCTGCCTTCCAGCTCTGCTTCACACACCTTTCTGCACTCAACCCATCAAGCTAACAGTACATCTACCCCATTGCTCCATCTACTTCGTGCCAGCCTAACAACCAGCCATCTGCAGATTACTCCTCACCCTTCTGCCTGCCTGTGAGCCTGCCATCTTCAGTAAGCCGTCTCCTCAACCCTCTCATCATCGCCATAACCCCCTTTCTGGAATAAAAACAACTTAACTTCACCAATCTCTGAATCTGTCTTGCATTTGGGTCCACACCTTCATCCCCTATAAAGGATGGTGCATAGTTCGACATGATTGTTTATGTACCTACCTCACAAACCACTCTGTGCTTACATTACTCTCGTCACATGAATGAAGGTGAATGATGTTTATTTACACACGGTTCCCAGCATAAACAAATCTGTTTCGTGGTCATATGGACATTAAACCAGCAACATACACTACAGTTCTAACATCTATATCTGTAGAATATGCCACAGACATGAAAAAAACTCAACACCTCCTGTATCTGTTTCAGATTAAGAACTCTAGCATTTCTGTGGACAGAATTTTAATTGTATTAATCCAATGCAAATTTAGTGTAGAAAGACAGAGTTGGCAGCAGCAGAAACGCTGCTGGTGTGGACACAGCAGGCGTGCGAGGCAGCCGTATTTTTCACACTTAACACCAAGGAACAGGTCAGAAACCCTGGTGTTATTGACTCTGACCTAAGGTTTGAAACCACATTAGAAATGTGACTGAAGGGTCCTTCTATCACTTAAGGAATTCCACAGTTTCTCTCCCAGGCTGGCAAAGTTAATACATGCTTTTATCTCCAGCAGGCTTATGGAGTTAGATTTGTGCCTTTATTACATGCGAGAAAATAAATGATCTGAGAGAAAAAAAATGTTTGAGAGAAAAAGCATTTTATGAGAAAAAATATTTGAGAGAAAAGGTTTTCATACCAATAGTAAAAAATAATATTTGAGACTAAAAAAATTTTTGAGAGAAATTATTTTCTCAGAGAACATAAAAAATATAAATTTTACATTTTAAAATTTTTTTCTGTGAAAAAAAAAGATCTGTTACTCTCTAACCTGTTAAACATCCTTTAATACCTCTGATCTGTTACTCTCTAACCTGTTAGGGCTACACAGTCATTCCTATGATGGGAATGATTTTGATTACCAACTTGCTCAGCTACCCATCGAGTTGTGTGTGTCATCATCTTACCAAAACATTGGAGTCTCCTCGCTCAACTAAGCATCTATGCCTGTGAATCGACAGTGGTGTAGTGATTCAGTTCGACTCCAGGCCTAGACGATTCTCACCCGACTGGCCAATAGGAACGTGGCCCCGCCCATGACATTATTTTCACAGCGAGAGACACGAGAGCAAGAAATTGCATCGAGAGCAAAGACTTAGGTTTTGAGAGCAGGAAGAAAAACGTTTTGAACACATTTTTTTGAGAGAAAATGTTTTCACCCTGATAGCAAAAAAATATATATTGAGAGTTTTAAAAAAAAAGTATTTTGAGAGAGATTTTTATTAATTTATATTTTTTTTATGTTCTATGAGAAAATACTTTCTCCCAAAACTTTTTTTTCTCTCAAATATTTTTTCTCTCATAAAATCCTTTTTTGCTATCAGTGTGATAACTTTTTCTCTCAAACATTTTTTTTTCTCTCAGATCATCTATTTTCTCGCATGTAATAAAGACACAAATCTAACTCCATACAGGCTGGACTACTGTCTGTCTGCTGTGTATAATAAAGCCATTAGTTAGTTAATCATCGTAAAGCTGACAGAGAGCCCACATTGCTCCGATCTTAAAATCTGTACATGGTTGCCTGTCTGTCACAGAATTCATTTTAAAATTATTTTATTGGTTTTTAAAATCAGTGAATGACTCTGCCTGGTCTTATCTGTCCCACATGGTTAAGACATATGAGCCTGCGATGTCCCTGAGATCATCTGACTCCTGAGGTCAGAACTAAAAGGCACAGAGAGGCAGCCATTGTAAATTATACCCACATACAACATCTTAAGACTCATCTTTTTTTCTTTTTCTCATCTTTCTCCTGTTTTTACCTGATGGTTGTTTTTAAATCAATCTGATCTTATTTTATTAGGGGTCCAGGCTGCTGGATCCCTCTTGTTCTTGTTCATGCAGCAAAAACTAATACCTAGAAAGACCAGGTTGCAAATTGCACCCACTACTCAGATACACTCACTGACCTCAAGGTGGCACTATAATAATATATATGTACATATATATATATATGTATATATATTTTTGGAAAGTTATCTTTTTGGCCTTTTATTGCCTTTATTTGATAGAGACAGCTGAAGATAGACAGGAAAGGGGGACAGAGAGAGGCGACGACATGCAGCAAAGGGCCGCAGGTCCGATTCGAACCCTGGACCGCTGCAGCAAGGCCAGCTCTACTGACTGAGCTAACCAGGAGCCTGAGTCAAAATTCTTTAATCATCTTAATCCCTCAAATGATCTGATTTGCATCTTTTCTAAATAAGACTTCTTTAAAAACATTTTCTCAAAAACCTCAGGATCATCTACGGACTTTGCTGATCTTAAGCTATCAAAGAAATTTCAATATGTCAATTAGTTTCCAGCTTCATGGATTCATATGAAACAATATGTCAATTAGTTTCCAGCTTCATGGATTCATATGAAACTCGGTTTGCATGATCTAGGGTTGTGTTTTTCTCTCCTTAAGAAATCATTTTCAAGGATTTTACAGTATATGACCGCATCCACTGGGCCTCTCAGAATTTCGCTTGGTGGTCCGGAAAGAATTTACTTTTTAGTCTTTTCCACTCGCGTCTAGTGTGAACAGCTAGATGGACTGAGATGGGAGCTGCGCAGTATGACACATCAAAGCTGGTTTACCAAACAGTCGAGATTTAAACAAAGTACACATTCAGGTTAAATAAAGAGATCTTTGTAAGGAGTAAAAACACATTATTTCCAGGATATTTGGGCATTTTAATAAATTCCCAGGTGTTTTGATGACTGGAAAACGAATTGAAATTTCCAGGTTTTCCAGGACATGTGGAAACCCTGCTAATTTATACTCCTCATATGTATATTTATAGATTTAGTCACCAGCATAATATGCAAAATTACATAATATCCAACCATCAACTAAATCAGGGATTTTCAGAGTCTGACACTGACCCCCCTCAGACAAAACTGAGACAATGGAAAAATTGGGACAGTTGGTGCTGAAAATGAGCTATTAGCAGGAATTTGCACATGGTGTACACACTGGATGACTTTAATACTGAAAACTTGATGATACTTAGTTCGGGAATTAAAGGTACCATCTTTTTTATGATTTTACATTTAGTCTCTATTGACATCAGAGATAATGATATCCTTGGAACACACTGAATCTAAAAATATCTCCAGATCACAATAAAGTGGGTCTGAGTGGTCTATGACTTAAAAAATAAAAAATAAGAAAAAGCTATTAACAAAAATCTAAAAAGCTCTCTTGGCCATTTTGAAGGCACTTTTGAGACTGTCACTAACTTCAGTTCATCAGTTTCGGTCAAGGTGCCAGGCCAGGATATGGGATCATGAGGTAAAAATAGAAGTTGTAGGACATCAGTCAGGTTTT